TTTTTTTTTTTTTTTTTTTTTTTTTTTTTCCTTTCTTTAAACCATCAGCAAATTCCCCTTACAGCCAGCTAGGCTAAAAGGTCAATTAAGAGCTTTCTTTTTATAGCTAAGATCTGCATCTCTCCCATCGCCTCCCTTAAGGAGGACAGACAGCCCAAAGGACACTTACCATGGAAGGTCCATGTGACCGACTTTAGTTCACGGGCACTTCTGCTTTCAAGATAAACAGCCCCTGCTTTGAAATACTAGTAAAGCAAAGTAAYGCAGGGCACATTTACTTGGGCAGCCAATTTGGCATGTAATTTGTTCCATTTCCAGATTAGCAGATTACTGCAGCAGAACAATGGACATAACAGGTCCCGCAAGCAAACATTACAGGTGACATATTAACAACCCACCTTAACTGGACTGATCTTCACAATATATTTTTATCATTTAGCTTTTGCCTCATACCTCCCTCCCTTCCTCCCTCCAAACTATGGGCAATGTTTTTGGGAAGCAGAAGATAGAAAGATATTCTATCTGAGGCTGATCTGAAGAGCAAAGAGCATAGGTCTGCATCCAAGAGAGACCAGCTGAAGCCAACCAGCAAAGTTCACCTGCTCTCAAGATCCCTGTGTAGCAGCTCCCAGACACAGATGGTCTCCAAAAAAAACCAAAGTATTCCCAAAGAAATGACCTTCCCAGATAACATGRAACTCTCACAGCCCAAAGTCTCACTCTCCACATCAGGATTCACTCTCTCACCCTTGTAAATTCTTGGTCTCAAACCCTCCAACAACTCAAATACAGCTTTGGGCAGCATTTGATTCATGGGCTTTGTATTTGCCACCTTCTAAAGTTCCTGGGTCACTAAGACTCAGCATTCCTCTTTTATCCCTGCTGTGGACACAGCTCACACTCCTCAAAAGAGGAGCTCAAGAGAAAAGCTCCCAACTTCCTCCCAAGCCCCTGCCATTCTGCCACATCCTTCGGCACCATGCGCAGGATCCTATCAGAGACAGAAAGGGCCAAAGCCACATTTGCTCAGGACCAGCAACACTAGTCTCACTGTGAAGCTCTCTGCAGCATTTCTAAGGCATCTCCTGAACATCATATCAAATCGAGATCCCCTAGAYGCAACACTAACACGAACACACAGGCTCCTACTTGTTTAAACATCAGGAAACTGCCTGCTGCAACTGGGGAGCCGACCCAGAGCCTCCTCTGAGGAGATACCTACCATGGTGAGCAACAGGGACCCGAGAAGGACAGGAGAGGCGACGCGAGCAAGCAAGGGCAGAGACACTTACACTGTGACCTCCATGTTGGTGCACTCGGGGCCTTTCCCCCTGGATGCCTGCAGGAGCCAGCGGAGCAGCACAGTGTCTTCTGGCACGTGGAAGTGGAAGAGCTTGGCGTTCCCATACCAGCTGTAGAAGGAGAGCTTCTGCGCGCTCTGGGAGAAGTACTCCGAGACATAGAGCGGCTCTGAAAAGCAGAGAGCAGAGCCATTGCTGGCGTGACTGCAGGGGCAGGGCACAGGGCTAAGTTCACAGAAGAATGCAGAAGTTTTCAGTCACTGGAGAGGAGTCCCTCTGTGTCTTTGATTTCTCATCCCATTCCCACTAAATATTGTGATTGCCTGTGTTTCTCCTGAGCAATAAGTCAGGATTGAGTAGCCAAAATTGCCCACATTGTTACTGCCAAACTGTCACCCAGAGATCAGGAAAAAATAGCTACCCTGTGAGATGTTCTCCAAGGATGACATATGACCTGAGGGACTGAGGAGGGGAATAATACCATGAGGAAAAGCTGATGGCACATGAAAGCAGGGTGGAGAAGCAGCAGCACAGCCCCAGAACCTGGGCCAGTAGCACATTGCAGATGGCTGGGACAGGACGAGGAGAACACACGGAGGACAACAGCACATGGGGAATTCACCAGCAGTTTATGGTGGATAGACAASGGTTGTGTCCTATTCCCTTTCTGCTGGGGGCACAGGCTGAAGGTATCACTCTTATATGGCTTGCGACACATGTACTGCAGAGAATGTTGTCTTCCTATAACATGCACGATAAAAATACACAGGCTGCAAACCTAAGTTAGTTTTCAGAGCACTTTGCAAAGTCCGAAGTTTCTCCTTCGTAGAAGCAAGGGCATTTGAATGGTGAAGGTCTGGAGCAGGTTGCAAGCTCAAGTGAGAGGACAAGGGTCATCCAAAGGAAGCACCATCAGGACTATCTAGACCCTCCATCCAACCTTGTCCTCAACTCTAGCTACAGATCTCCCARACCTGCAGATAATTTCACATGTAAAATTACAGTAGTGTCATTGGGATCATCAAGAAACCAACAAAACAACTCAGGGAGAGAAAAGAAACCTCATTCCAGGCTTAGGAAGGGGGCAAAAATGCAGTCAATTAAGTAAGACATTCTGTCCACCAGAAGATATAGTTCCTAACAGCAAGAGGAATGCAAGAATCCTCGCATCTCTACCCAGTCCTCCCAGATGCTCCTTTCCACTTTTACAATTCCCTCAACTAGGAGTTTTCAAAATGAGGTTCCTCATTTGGATCAGTCGGCACTGTTCAACTTCCCTCCACCCTGACCCTGCTCAAGACTGTGTGGGAGCACACAGGACCCCAAGGAGTTTGGGAAGGTGTCAGAGCAGGATGGGAGCACGTGCCTCRGGAGGCACCTGGGTGCCAAGAGGAAGCTAATCCTAGCAAGAACTGTGATTCGTGCCCCAAAGCAGGAAGCCTGCTGGCCTGCACCCAGGGCACTGCAAAAACACTGGTAATGATGGGTTTAACTTCCTGGCAAATTGTCAAGCTAAAGCCTCCAGGCACATTGCAACCCAGCAAAGAAAGGAGGAAAGAGGCAAGCAAAAAAATGCCACACAGTCTTCTCTGCTGCCAGCATAAAGGGCAATAGGAGAATTCACTTTTCGAGGAAAGGCACGTGGTGGCAGCAGGACAGAGCTCCCTCTTTGCGTGTAGTCGGCCTCACACCCACAGGCTCTGGCAAACACAGAGCACTTAGAGCTACAGGAGGTCACACAGCAGGGCTGAACCCGCAGCACAGAACAGCAAGGAGGCAACCTACAGGGCAGAGCACAGCATGCGGGCAGAGTCCTCACGCGGTGACAGCAGCAGTCCTGCTGTGTGTGCTCCCCAAGAGCAGCACATCAGAGCACAGGGCAGACACGACGGCAGGGGCTTCTCCCGCGGACGCTCTTTGACTCTAACGTGAGTGCAGCGCGTGGGGTATCACAGGCAAGGGACGGGAATCAGCTGCAATTCCCTGTAACATCAGTCACCTTGCAGCATATGGAAGGGAGCAGTCTTCAAGAAGCACCTTGTACATGCTCAGCTGTGCTCTGCATGCACAGCGTGCACGTTCACCTCCACAAGCCACAGGCACAGGGGAAGGGCGGATACAGGCACGAAGGCTCATGAGAGCTGGGCCAGCACCGGCACTGTTCACTGGAGCAGCTCGTATGGGGCAGCCTGAACAGGGGGAAGCTTTTGTGCCCGTGCCTGCCCATGGCACAACCTGCTCTGCGCCCACGGGCTGCCAGGCTCCACACAGCCAAGATGCAGAGTTTGCACCATCCAGAAGGGCTTTGCCTCAAAGGCTCAGGCTGAAGCACCCGAGGAAGCTGAAGTATTTCTTCCTGGGAGGAAGAGGCCAGACAGGCTGCAAAATTAAAGCAACCAAGTGATGGGGTGTGCAGGTCGCTCCTGATGAGCGTGATAAACTACAGCCTGTAGCAGTTGACTACATTAGCGCAACAGCTGTGGTTTTAGCAACAAAATACCCGTGTGGACAAAGTCCAGTGGCAAACAACTTGACTTGGAGATGGTCTGTYGAGCTGCTGCTCCGAGGCTTTGCTGCGCGCTTCAGACCTGCATCCAGAGAACATCCCCATTCCCAAAGCCCCCTCACCCTGGGTTGACAGGGAGATAGTGCAGGCAGATAAAACTGCACATTAGCAGAGAAGAGCCAGAAAGACAGGTCACCAAGCRCGAGGCATGTGCTCCTGCAGCCTATTTGCATTGAGGGAGTGTTTGGTTGTGTTTGCTGTGCTCTTAGTCTCTATCCTGTTCAGTATGTTGAAAAACGGAGTGATGAGCTCTCAGTGGGAKCGGATGGGAACAATACCCATTTGACATTTAACAATACCCTCCTCCTGAGAGCAAACAAGTTCCAAAAGTGCTATCCAAAATAAACCAAAGTGGTTTTTAAGACAACAAACAGGCCTGGGTAGACTTATAGATGCACAGAGGAGATGTTCTTTGAGTTTCAGAATAAAGATCCACCTATATGAGCCCAGGATCATTCATCCAAAAGTTATCTCAGACCAGCTTTAGAAACGTTAGCTTGACAACTGGTTTCAGGACTTCCCATGAAACGGACGAGGTCTCATTTAAAAATAGATGTTCACAATATATTTTTCAGAAATGACTTTAGAATTAAGCACTTCCAAACCCAGCAGGCTCATCCTTGTGCAGAGATTAGGTCAAGCAGCAGCTTTAAGGGGACTTACACAGCATATGAAAACTCGCGTGACAAGCTACATGGACGACAGTCAGTTTGACTCAAGACAAGACACGTGGCAGGTTTTTTGGCCATTTATAACAGCTTTTTTTTTTTTTTTTTGCCATTTGTAATAGCTCCATTCCTTTAGTCTATGTCAAAATCTGAGCTCCAGAAGTCCCAGAAATGGGACCACTCACTCCTGGAGAGGAGCCAATCTTCAGCAGCTCTTAAACCAAGTCCTAACATGGCATTTCCCTAACCAGCAGAACAGTGCCAAKGGAAACCAAATAACACACCTCAAGCCCAGGGTAGCTTTCCTCAGGGCTGGGAACCCAGCTAGCAGGATGCCAGAGGAGGGTGGACCTGGGGCAAAAGGACATCTCCATCAGCCGCCTGGAGCCATCTACGTTGCTGGGGTTGTTTTGCAGGCGATGAGGAAGTGCAGCACAAAACCCATGATCAACAGGCGAAGGTTAATCACCCTCAGCACGAGCCCACGTCTGCGACAGGGTGACACGGGGGTACAGCCACATGTCCCCGAGCTTCCTCAATGCCCGTGCGCCTGCTGAGCCTCGGGAGGGTGGGACGTGGCCGCTGCCACATCACCAACAGAGCTCCACGGCAAACACCATGGCGAACACCCTCGCAAACGGCGCCCTGCCGCTCCATTAAAACAAACAAACCCTCTGCCGCCTCAGTCGGGACGCTCTGCCCAACGGCRCCGATACACTCAGAGGACCCTAAGCGCAAACAACAACCCAAACAGKGCATCACCGCCCGGGTTCAGGCCCTGATCCCACCTGGAGAAGGAGCCGAGCAGCTCACGCAGCTCCTTCATGGAGCCTCCGTAGCTCCATGGTGCCCGAGGAGGCCAGGGCTGGCCTGGCAGGGAAGATGTTTCCCCCCCGTTTCTCCAGCGGGCACCGAGCGCKGTCGCTGGTAGCCAGCCGGGCGCCTCTGAGCGGCTCTCAGGCCCGCGCTCCGGGCACGACCTTCCGCTCCCTCCACGGCAGGGCGGTGGATTCTCCACAGACGTCTTCATCCGCCGGGGAAGCAGAGGGTCCCGGGGACGCAACCCCCAGGTTTCCAGGGCCCCATCCCAGCCTGGCTCCTTCTCCCGGAGGTGCCGCCTGCCCGGCCGTGTCTCCCGGGCGCCCCCACAGCCCCCTGCCAGGTCAAGGACGGATTCGCAAGCGCTGCCAGTCGAGGCTCCTTCCCACGGGGGGTCCCCACGCGTCCCCCCACTCGCGTCCCCCCCAGCTCCGCTTCCAGCCCGGGCGGAGCGGGCCGGGACACGGCGGCGGCCCGCGCTGGCCGCGCCGC